GTTTCAATAGAAGTATAATTTATAAAAGCCTTAAAGAACCACAAGCTCGCGACTTCAGACGAATAGTCGTAAAGACGTCCCAGTAACTCGTAGGGTCAATTCAAGTCTGCGAAGTGCACCTACCTTTTCAGGCAGTAGCACCAAGTTCTCTGCTTACGGTCACCACGAGGCAAGCCACGGTTGGGCTTCAAGGGTGGCACGATGGGCTTTTTGCTGCCTCTTGCTGCGCTCTTGGTGTTAAAAACACTAGAAGATGCTGCGAAAAGGTCACCTTAACGCAATTTCGGCCTTCTGCATACCACGCTCTTCCGTGTATTATGCATATTTGACTGATTATGTTGTCACTATTACCTACAGCTGCCACAAGGATTTGTTTACTCTTTGATCTTTGTTTACTCTTTGATCGGTATAATGACGTGCCACCAAGTGTCAAAGAGTTTGCATGGCGGCTCGCCCGACTACCCCCGATACGCTTGCTTGCTCATAGGAAGCTACCGCAAGACCGCAGCCCTCTCATCATCACGTGTCCATTGCTGCTGCAGGCGTCGACGACTACAGCTACAGGTCAGGCTCACGACCGAGGCTTCAGCGCAATGACTATCTTCAAGAATAGAGGTACGAACACTGCTTCATTTATCCCCGCCAGCTGGTCATCACCTATAAACACCCGACACACAATGCATTTGGGTCACTACGTTGGGGCAGTACAATGCGTACCACGAGTGTCCCGTGTGTTACCGTTTTGGTATCACCGAATATATAGCTCGTTTCTGTCATTGGCAGCAAGAGACATCCCGATGCGATCCGTCATAAGTGTCTCCTCGAGCTTGCTGTGTTTAATGGTCGCAACAATGATCCCTGGCCCAGCAGTTCCGGGAGTGCCTCACGATGCGAGAATTGACGTAGCAGCTCTTACGCTACTGGCTGTAGTTCGACACCTCCCCTTGCCCGACTCCATTTCTCACATTCAAGTGGACCATGACTGTCACCACCTCCACCACTGGGAAACTAGTGGGCGCTACCGATGAAGATGTGGTTGCACAAAAGAATTTGCCTCACATTTATCTGCTATTTAAGATGTTCAAGAGAAAGATGCATGTGTTGATGTATGATGGTTTGTGTGCAAGCGCTTAGTGGACGTTGGTGCAATGGTGTGTAGTTGTGAGGGTTTTCTTCAAGAATCGCTTCAAGAATCACAAATCAACAGTATTTTTTGGTGTTGGTGGCAAATACTTCATCCTCTGAAAGTTTGCGCTGGTAACGTCATTTGAAAGAACCTTATGTAGCGCGAGGCGAAAAAACGAACACAGGAAGGAATAGAAGGAGAAGACAGAGCGCTCTGTCTTCTCAGTCTATTCCTTCCTTTGTTCGTTTTTTTGCCTCGCGCTACATAAGGTTCTTTCAAATGTTCCACCAACAAGCCCACATCGCCACTCTTGGTAACGTCATGTTGGCAGGGAAGAAGTTCACAACAGAGTTTTCGCTACTGTGGCATTCCATCAATGATGTCATTCTCTGCATCGACTTCCTCCTAGACTGTGGCGCTTTTGTCGACTGTGAAACCGGTGAATTTTCTGTCAGCGATAAAATTGCTCCCAATCCTTGTTTATGAGCCGCAAGTCATGGATCACACTGAATATTTGCGAGGAAGTGGCAGTGCCACCGTTTTCAATCAAATCAGTTGCGGAACTAACTTCTGTTCCGGCCACATTCGCCATTGATGCCGTCTTGAAACCTGTCACAGTTCAATGTGCTAAGAAAGGCGTAGTAGTGCCTCGTTGTGTTATATTGGTTGATGACACAGAAACCTCGCTTCGGGCACTTAACTGTTTGCCAATGCTCATTGGGCTACCTCGAAGAATAAGCTCGGTGGGTGCTATGTCATTGAAATCTCTATAACTGCAATTAAGAAGGACGTAAAGTATGAATCGTCAGTCACTTGCGAGATCAGTTGCTCCAACGAGTCAATATTGTTAAAGCATGATTACCAAGTCTTTACGTCACACGAGCAGAATACACTATTCCATCTCCTGGGAGGGCATAATTCTATGTTTCAAATTTGTCAAGAGATGGAGGCACTCTTTCAACCAAGTTCTCGTGCTAAGGACAGGATTGAAACAAGCACTGCCCATCTGATCCAGCAAACACCTTACCGAGTGTCTAAGTCAGAGTTCGAAGTTGATGCCGAAGAAGGTGGCCGCTCGATGGCCTTTTGGCGTACAGCGAAAACACCGGTTATCTTTCTGTAGCTGCTTGTTTTAGACTGAAAGAGGCATATCAGCTTTGCATCGGCGTGCCCCATGCTGATTAAAGTGGCAGAAGAAGCATTTGAACTATGGTATAGATGTGGCGTGCAATACTGATGCCGCTGTGAGGCCACCTTTTCTTCGGTCTGAGGGATTCGTCGAAGCAGCTCTCTGATATGGAAGTGCGTCCTTTTTTTGGCTTTCGAACTCCACTCGTATGAATTGTAGCATGTCATTTAGCTCGGCGTCCGACGCAGCTGGCCCCTCTGCTGGTGAAGTCGACGAGGAAGCTTAAGCATAACGTGCTTGGGTGGGCCTTGTCAAGACACGGTGTCGTTTTAGGGGCAAAGCTCTTTAAAGCGGCACCCTTTCGTTCCTCGTAACAGTGCGTAACATGTCTTACGATTTGATTTGCAAGGTGGTGCCGGTGGGAGATTCCCTTTGCATTGGTGAACAATAAAAAATTCGCAGCGTGCGCGTTAACTAAAAATCCGAATTCTCCTGTCTCTCATTCCCGTTAGCAGCCATTGGCATGTACATTGAGCACTATCTAACAAGAAAGGGTTTATATGGTATACTCGCTGGGCGTAACGTCTTTGGTTTTAAAAAGGTTAGCAAGCGCTTGGCCGCAGGGCCACGAATACAGTGAACTAGTATATACCATGAACTCGAGGTTGTTAAAGGGGGGAAGTAGATACGAAGCGCAAGCCGCAAGAAAGTGTGCGTGTGCCACCTCTCGTTTATTCTTGGAATGTCCGCTGGATGGCGGCGCTTCTATATGCGGAATATATGATGAAAATTTGCGAGATGGTAGTACTTGAAATCTTGACTAGATGGACGAACGGACACGCAGACAGATGCAAGGATGGACGCACGGATGGCTGCACGGACGGATGGACGCATGAACGGACTCAGGGGCGGATGCATGGACGAAAGTAGGGATGGACGCTCGGATGGACGTGTGGACGCACGAACAGACACATGCATGGACGGACGGATGAATGCACGGACGGTCACACAGACGAACGCATGGACAGACGGAAGCAAGAACAAGTGGACGGATTGATGAATACAGTGAACTAGTATATACCATGAACTCGAGGTGGTTAAAGGTTGGAAGTAGACAAGAAACGCGTGCCGTAAGAAAGTGTGCGTGTGCCACCTCTCGTTAAGTTTTTGGAATGTCCGCTAGATGGCGGTGCTTCCATATGCAGATTATATGATGAAAAGTTACGAGATGGTGGTACTTAGAGCGTTGACTAGATGGATGAACGGACACACAGACAGATGCATGAATGGACGCACGGATGGCTGCACGGGCGGGTGGACGTATGGACGGAAGCAGGGGCAGATGCATGGACGAACGCAGGAACAGATGCACGGATGGACGTGCGGACGCACGAACAGACTCACGCACGGACGGGTGGATGGACGCATGGACGATCACACAGACGGACGCATGGACGGACGGAAGCAAGAACGAATGGATGGACGGATGCTTCGCCCCACTCTCTATCATTCACCACGTAGATATGCTGCCATTTTTTTGTGTAAGATCATTGTCCAGCGGCAGAGCCTTCCGCAAGATATCGATGAACACAGCTAAATATGTTAGTGCCAGCAAGTTAACCTGTCCAGGCAACAATTATTCAGGTGCGTAGCGCCTTACAGCCTTCCTAGCTCACGGATGTCACCAGCCATTGTCACCCTTCAGAGATTTCTCAGCGGCGTGAGATGGTGCTGAATAATCATCGTCTTATAATCACTTCTTAAACATACCCATGGCGTCAACGTAGCGAGAATCAGTTGTGGTCAAACCCGCATTCAGTATGGCTGCATCACCAGATAGAAATATTTTCAGGTAGTAGAATTTATTGAATGGCGTATGGTTGTTCTTCTGAAAAATAGGCTGTTGGAATGGCTCCCAGAAGTCTGTCCACTCTTGAATATCTTCTTGGAATGTTGGGCTCTGCAGCTGTGCAACCGGGGTGACATGAAATTTGCGGGATTATTGTGCCTGAAAGCCGAATCTGCTGTAATTTTACCGCTGGTAGCTTGTGCATGGCCGGCCGGAGCTTGTTTCATTTGGAATATTCGGGTACCTGTCTCGGTGAGCATGCTGTCAGCTCATTTCAATATTCCGCTATAGCTGTGTACTACTTTTCAATACGTTCCATCGGGCTATATCGCTTATACTACTCGTTCATCTGCGAGAGCTCGTCATTGCTAGCCGAGAGCCACTGCTTCACGAGAGGAGCGCGACCTTGGACATCAAAGACCTGTTTCGCGACTTAGAGCTTCGTGATGTCGACACTAGCTTAATCTAGTAATCTTCGCGCACTGTGAATAATTTTTGTGTTTTCCGGACATCACGCAGGTCATTGCCTTTCAGTCGGTGCGTTAGGAGAGCACCGCTGCTGGCTGATGCCATTTCCCCAATGCCGATACTCACCTTTACGATTCGTGGAGTTCTCACTGCCAGTCACGCAAAGCGTGAGTAGAATCCCTGCTTTGCCGTGCGTAGAAGACTGCTCCACCCGCGGGTTTTCGGAAGGAAAGTGTGTGGACGCTAAGAGGTTTTCGGCGCGGAATAACTCAGCCTGAAGCCATCGTAACGCCACGATCGAACGTGTTCTACTGCTACTTCTTTGCCTTCAATGGTTGGCAGCATTTATTATATTTTTAACAATTGCCTAATGAAAGCGTAGTAGATTTTCACTTCGCAATAGGAAGAAGAATACTACGCCCCATTACTTGCAGTAGGCGACTTTATTGGCGTAGAAATTTCGAGATGTTTGTGTAACCTGTGTGACTAAGCTCATGCACCTAAGCAGTTCCGATAGCACGCCACAAGGGATGAAAATCCGTTGCAATTTAATGTAAATGCACCTCGAACACACCGGCCATTCTGGTAGCGGTACCTTCTGCCAGAGGGAACTCCAATCGCTGCATAGGGGTTGCAATGACAGGCTGCGAAAAGAGAAACAGGGTGAAATACTGGCTTTAAAAACTAAGGTAAAAAATACTCAGAATTATAATAACTCAGGCCTGTGTGGAGTATGCAGCACAGTCGCAGAAAAATCTAGTGGAACCTCACTTCTTAATCCGCTTAGTGAGGTTTCCGTCACACATATGTAAGAAGTTGTGCCAACTTTGTTGTTGCGTCTCGATCGCGGCGGCCACATTTTCGATGACGGCAAAATTGCTCCAAATGATTGCATGCATGTTTCTGTATAAAGTTAAAGAGAAGGCCGTCACCTCCGCAAAGCAGGAAAGCTTTGTTGAGAATAGTTATTCTTTCGAATGATTAATCTCAGCAGTATAATTTTCTTTTGTTTCTAAAATTTCAAGACAATGCCTATAAAGTTTATTGGCTGCCTCCGATCTGCTGCAACCCTGACAGAATAGCATCGATGGTTAAAAAGTTGCTTTGGTTACAATATCTCGCAATGCTCTCAAAATATTGTAGTCACTAGGGCAAACAATTACCGGGGTTAGTGTACTATTGATGTAAGGAGATACATGGTTATACACTATGCTATATCTGGTAAAAAACTTTCAGCATAATTTGATGTGCCGTAAAAGCGTGTGACACTGTTTTTAAAACTTTTGTTCGTGAATTTGAACGCAAATGTAAACATAATAATTCTCAAGCAGTTGTCAGCTTTGTCAGTACGGTGCCCCTACACGGTGGTCTAGTAGCCAAGGTACTCGGCTGGTGACCCGCAGGTTGCTGGATCGAATCCCGGCTGCGGCGGCAGCAATTTCAATGGAGGCGGAAGTGCTGTAGGCCCCCGTGCTCATATTTCGGTGCACGTTAAAGAACCCCAGGTGGTCAAAATTTTTGGAGCTCTACTTTACGGCGTCTCTCATAATCTTATGGGGATTTTGGGACGTTGAACCCCACATATCATCATTTGCCAGGAGGTTGTCGAAATACACCGCAAGCCATCTTGAGCATCCTCAATACTGTCACTATAAGTTGCCACATGTATTTTATACGTGAATAAACTGACAAGTGTTTTCAAATTACAACGTAAGAAACAGCTTTAGACAGCCGCTGGAGCTTTTGAACTTAATAGTTCCTTTAAAAGTTCAGAATACTTCATATTTAAATGCTTACAGGTAGGTATTTTATATCGTGTCACCAATTTGACGATAATTGAATGCGTCGTACTCAAAAACTGAAAAGAGCCTTCGGTATACGGGGGTTTGTTTTTCCTTTACATGGCGATTCGAAAGGTAATGATAGTGCAGCTTTTCCAGGACCAACAGATGCGAAGTAGCGCAAGTATTAGCACTGAGTATGTACCTTCTGGGTATACACATGCGAATGGACCACTCCGCCTGTCGCACTCTGGAAGAAAAAAAAAGACAATTGATGGTAGGTTCACCTCATGAAAAAGCGAAGAAAACAATACTAGTTTGCGTCGATAAAGGCAAGCTTTCCTAGGTAGCTGCCCAAATAAACAAGCATGATGTCGTCTTATTGCTTATTCGGTGAGAAATTTCGATAGTTAGACTTTGTTCACCTTTGTTTCTTGTACACAATTTTAGCATTAAGGTTTCTGAGATACGAAGTTCACCATGAATGGTGCCACTTATTGAAATACCTACAGGACGATTGTGTGTACGCTAATGATTGACTAATACGATTGATCAATGGCTTTTTGGTTGTTGCGTGGTGACTCAGGAGTGAATTAGTCATTAGTGATTTAGGAATATTAAGATTGGCTGCTCAATTCTAGCTCATTTGCTGCTTGTCGTGCTTCTACTTTTGATACGTGGCAAAGTGGTGGCGTGGCTGAGTACTAGTTTTATACGTTTATTGTAACTCTAGACGCTACAAGTTTTACTACTATTTCCACGATTCCGTTTGCCACAGCCACGGCTTGGTAACAGTGCCTTTTGAAGCAGGCAGCGAGCAGTTTCATTTACATTTTTGGGAGAGAAGGGTAGATTTCAACAAAGTATTACGAGGAGGTTGGACGTGTTATTGTATATGAAGTAGTCGTGTGATCATCGTGGCCTTAACAGGTACGTGGAGAAGACAGGCACTTAAAGCGTAACTTGCAGTCACACGTACTTTGATGCCATCACTTTTTTAGTGCTATATATAGCCGAAAAACCCGAAAATCATTACAGCTAATGTTATAAAAACTAAGTGCACTATATACGGCAGATTAAATGTAACGCCATACGTAACCTTTTTTCAGCCTAACCATCTGGGATCGAGCAGCGTTTAAATATAGCCTGCTGAATTTTACGAACGCTGACGTCTGGTTCGCTAGTCTTTTATAGAAGTGGACTGGACACTGGAAACACAGCAAAAATTAACCCAACAAGGTGCCTATTTCACGGAGTACATAAGCACTGTCCAATTCTTTCTAATAAAATTGCATATCCCGCATCACAATATGAACTGACGCATCGCTGACATGATGGTGGCACAGCACATTTTCTCTAAAAGTTTCTAGACATGGCGTGGCTCTGTGGTACAATACGTGCGTGCCGCGTACAATGCTACGGTTGCATTTCTGCTGGGACTGTAAGTTTTACTATTTGCATCCGTCGAGACAATGCTGGTGAGGTCGTCTTTCCTAACGCTTTCGAATTTACATCACAAATGCCTTTTCTCGACATCCCTAGCAGATATATATCGTCAAACACCTAAGCTGTATTACAATAAACCACGGCCCATGGTCAATTGGTTCATGCCACAATTTATGAAGTATCGGCTTTGGTGGTGTAGGCGAGAAGTTTTTCGAGTATTCATGTCACAACCAGAATGTCAGATTATTTCTTTACTCTATCATAGTCAATTTTGGTCTACACAAAGTTAAGAATGTGATTACTTGAGCCGGCCGACTTAGGTGGCTAGATAGGTCTGTTCCTCTTTTGTACAATCGCGCAGTCAACAGGAAGCCTTTGGGGAACCTCACCTGCCAGCTTCAGGTAATTTGTTTTTCCAAGAAGCGCCGTCTTGCTGGCTCGCTAATGGAACTCGCAAGGTGACTGCCATGGCAAGTATGTATCCATCTAATAGCGTACGGCCTTCCACGCCTGAATTGCGTTTCCGGAGAATTTGTCCGGTGACGCGGTACTTCTCGCCAGTCATGTGAACGGCCTCCGCTCGCTTAAAAATAGCGCGCATGCCTCCTCGGCACCTGGCAATGTGTTGGTGGTTCAAGCACCGACCGTGGACGGTGTTGAGGCCACCTTAGCGCGTCAACATTGCTTTATTTACGCCACAGTGTCACAACGCGGCACGACATCGCATGGGTTGCGCTTGCCTGGGAACGTTATGGATGCTTCTAATGGCATAGAACTAGTCTCCGTGATTCTGACGAAAGCTGGGTTTCTGAGAGACGCCGTCTATGCGTCCTTTGCCATAAATTGCTCCACCATGAGTACCGAATTCAGTGTATCCTCCGCAGATGCCAACCTCCCCTCTTCATGGGGATCACCTGGTAGCTCCACGGAGCTGCAGTATATCACCGTGCATATTCCTGTCACGACCGATGCCTTGATAGCGTCCAGCTACCAGGTGTCTCCTGCCGGGCTCCCAACACTGTGGGCAACAAGTTTCATGTTGGATTTTGCTGCTTTACCGGTCAGAGCAAAGCCTCGTGTGAAGCCAGCTCTACTGAGAACAATCGCGCGCTGCACCGGTCTCTCAGGATGCTCTCACAGCAACAGTGTTCCTCGATGCGGGCGCTGTTCTAATTTACACCCGCCATCCCGCCATCACCAGCTCCCTGTGAACTGCCACTGTTCTGTTGCTTTGAAGACCACGGCATCGAGTGTAATTCGACTATGAACTCACCTGGCAGCCTCCATGCCAGGTGGACATGTCAAAAATGAATAATTGTCATCTACTACCTTCGGGGTGCTGCCAAGGCATGGTGCGACTATGAAGGCACTCAACAACAGTCCTTGCATGAATGATGTGCGCCATTGATCACTATATTCGGCTGCTTTCATGTGACTGCTACCACCTCTCTGGCAGCTTATTGTCAACTGCTGATACTGAGTATGAATTGCCAACATATACAGGTTTGACAGCTTCGTGTGGGCCCAGGTGCTCAAACGACAAGATATGCGACGTAAAAATGGCAACATGTTCATCCAACATGAGCACACATATATAAGAAGGGTTTAAAATAACATAAATGATCTTAAAATCATTTGTGGCGCTATCGTCCCTGCAGTTCCTCAGTTATAGTACATGGTTCCCGCGATCCTGACACCACGCAGCTATTTAGCATCACACTGCTTGTGTGCCACTCACACGTCACTGTCGACGAGATGGTCGGACGTGTCGTCGTGTCAGCTTGAGGTCGTGGTGCTGCTATCACGACAGTAGCTGGGACGGCCATTTTGCTGTAGCGTCGCTGGCCACACGTGTGCTTGCAACCACGCCTGGAACACTGCTTGGCTGCAGTCCCGCAGCGAGGCTTCAGCTTGCATGGCTTGGTTGCCTCCGGAGTGACCAACTCGCTCGCGGGTCTCGATGACGACGCTTGTTCCGGCGTCACCTGGCGTTGCTTGTTGTTAAGGTTCGCCTTTGGTCCACCCGTTAAAGGTTAAGCGCCGCAATGGACCGGTAGCCGTCGCAACCCTCGATCTCTTCCGCTGTCCGAATGCCTCGACCCACCTGGCTTCTCTTGCGTTCCAATCTCCTTCGTCTTTTTTTCCGCTCCCTCATGAGCGGCGCCACCACGCACCGCACACATTTCCTCCTATTTTCACCTCTAAATACATGTTGTGCAAAAAAAAAATTACTCCACTTGTCACACTCCCCCCTGCTTTCAGAACGTTGCCCACGTGTACGATTCGCTTCGACGCGACACAATGGCACACAAAAAATACTTACTTATGTGACCACCGCGCACATGCACAGCACTTCCCGTACGTCTAGCACAGCACAATTAAGGCCCGTGCGTTCACGTACCAGCACACCAGGGTAGCTCGCCATGAGGCACACAGACCCTGCCCGCTTCAACGCGAGAACACATGCACACACGCACAATGCACAACTCACTATGCACGCGGTGGGTTCCTCTTAGTCTTCGCTAGGTTGTGACAAGCACCAGCTTGTCAACGTCAGGAAAAGTTTTGTTTTTTCGCTTGAACACTTTGGCCCGGTAACGTCGTTGGCGACCCTGTGAACGTTATGGTTGAAGTGCCGGAGACCGATATGTTGGTACACTGGGTTTGTCCGAGTCATAAAAGTGGTGTGACGAGGACTCCTGCCTGTAGCAAACACAGCTGACCACGTTATTGGACCTCTGTTGTAGTGCTGCACTTTCGCCGACGCGATGGTACCTTCGGCAACGTGTACGAAGGCGATGCCTCATCTCTTCTTGGTGTCGACGTCCAGCCAGATAGCGGCGATTCCTATCATGCTTTAGGCCATAGCGTGGGTGATTACCATCGAGCTCTACATGGCGTTGGCTTTAGGTGTCTTTTCGCATACTTCGTCCGCTTATCACCGTTTACTGCCGCTAGACCCCTCTTCCTCAATTTGGGAACATATGCTGATAATCGGTTCATTACGGGCACCCCGTGTCGTCTACCACAGTGTGTTGTAGACGTCGTGGGCGTCACTTGCTCAATGTCGCTGCAGCTGCTGAAACAATCGGCCTTCCTTTGAGTTGCTATCGAAGCGTCGAGCAGCGCTGCCTCGGGGAGGTTCCCAAAGATTACATCGTGCAGGGACTTTCTCATGCATCAAGCACGAACCACTCCTCTAAAAAAGGGTGTGTCCAGAAAAACCACAGCTCCCGGGAAGTAGCGCACCTTTCTATCCAAGAACTATAGTGGTCTATAAGTGCCATTTAATTTTTTTTTCTGGCACTATTGCCTGTCGGACGACGACCGTGTCACGGCCAGCTTCGCAAAGCACAGTAACCGGCCACTTGTCAAAAAATCCTTCCTCCACTGGCATATTCTAGATTCCTTGCGAAGCAACGCCCCTGCTGACTGTGGTATTGACGACGAGAATCCTCTCTCCATCCTTGAGAACAAGGAATCTTTTATTCCAGGAAGATTCTTCGATTCTTCCGGTGTATGGTGTACTGCAACCATGCACGACGCTTCACTATAGACCTTTCCTCGAGGGAAAAACTTCTCCTTGTTTGGTCACACCTTCTCGCCTGTTCGACAACAATAATCACCTTTAGTGCGCGTCCAACACTCGGCTGCTTTGTGCCCCTTCTTGTCGCAAAATAAACAGCGATTGTCTACCCGATCTCACACATGTGTCTTTATTTTATCGGTTCTTAGATGGGATCCTTAAATCAATTCCTTCTAAGGCCGCTCATGCCAAATCTAAACAAAGCCTGAGCCTCACCG